GAACCCTCGATCTCCTGTTTACTAGACAGGCGCTTTAACCAACTAAGCCACGGCGCCAGTGTTGCAACACCCTTCTATTTGAAAGTATATAAGTATAATATTTAGTACGATATTTTTATAATTCATATCTGAGTCTTTAAATAATAATTTAAATATTAATACTTCAAGTCTTCTCTCCTTATCGTATTAATATTAAAAAATTTTCTTATAAAACGAAAAATCGTAAAACTCGCTATATATATGTATACATACATATCGTATTATTATAAAAATAGTACAAACAGAAAGTATAAAAATTTTTTAATTTACAGATAAATAAATGTTACTCATATAATACTACAAAGTAACAAATAACAAAAAATTAATGTGGAGGCGCCGGGTATCGATCCCGGTACCTCTCGCATGCTAAGCGAGCGCTCTACCATCTGAGCTACGCCCCCTGATGATAACCTTTTGTTAAATATTGTATATATCGTATTTAAATGTTTCACACACATAAGGTATAAAGATAATATATCAATAATACATACCTTATAAATTATTTTTATCCAATAAATATTAAACACTACATATTACAGGTATTGTGTAATGTCACGATACATTCTCGCACGAAAAATGTAATACGTTTATTGCCACATGCTACTCGACATAGTGATCAAGCGTGCCTCGTTAATCCATGTATTATGTGTTGCGGAAAATGTATCGGAGATAACGCACGTATGCGTGATTTTATCCTTAAATCTTCAGATATACAATCATAAATTTTGAAAATGAAATATATTGTTGCGTTGAAGATTTAAGAGTAATACACACGTTATTTTTTGCTATGTTTAGGATTGTATGTATTTGAATGACAAAGGAAATAATAATATATGACAGTAAAGTATTTTACTCATTTTGAAAGTCGTATACGGTAGAAAATAAAATTTTATACCCCAGAAAACCTGTTTTCAATTCCAAGTAAACATAATTCATCCGTCGTGTTATAAAATCACGCACACGTGTGTTATCTCCGATACATTTTCTGTAACATGTAATATATGGATTAACGAGGCACGCTTGTGATTATTGTGTCGAATGGCATGTGGCAACGGACATAATACATTTTTCGTGCGAGAGTGTATCGTTATATTTCACGATATCTATAATATCTAATTGTGTTATACTCATTGATAAATTAGAAATGTTAATTACATTCCGCTAATTAATTAACAAGCTATTTTTACAATCCTGTCTTTATGTTTCATGATATTTTATATTCTGCCGTTATATTTTAACACACACATATGTGAAATTTTTATTTCAGTCATACCTGAAATTTAAACATAAGTATAAAAACAGAATGTGTAAGTGTCGATTAATGTTTCCAGTGTATTAACAACACGCGACGAATAAATTACTTTTATTTAAAATTTATTAGTAGATATTTCCTTGCGGATATAAGATTGACATCTTATTTTTTACTGTAAATATATTATTGAAGAGCTTGTAATTTCACGATACGTTTGATATTCTCTTTCCGTTCATAAACATTAAAAGATGAGAGTAACAAATAATCAAATCAAGATTATACACAGTATTTGCTTTACGCAACGTCATCACATCACGACATATAACTATATATAATTAATTACGTTCTCCAATATCGAAGCGAATCAAATGAATTACGTCGAAAACCATCTATACTTGTAAAATAAAGACTACGCTACCAACGTCATTTTCATATTGAACTGCAAAAGGAACAATAAGGGAAATGAAATTTAGCGGAGACTTTCGGCGCGGAGTCAGCACATTCGGTAATTCACAAGAATGGGACAGGAGGAGTGGGAAATTCGTAGTAGCGGCAGAAAATTGGAACCCCGTCGTGACACCATGTTACTTTTATTACCATTTATTACGGGTCTTTCTTGTAGCGGTAAATAGCTCTAACAATAGATCGTTTGTTCTGACATTAACACTGTGCGATATTTTTACCTTTATAGAAGAACATTATAGTATTTGAACAATCGCTTCTCTTGCGTAAAAGAGAAATTAATAGAGAAAAAAGATTAATAAAAGTTTGATAAACATTTCTAAGACAATTTGAAATTCGACATCGTATAGAAGAGTAGCAATTAAGAATTAGAAAATTATATTTGCTTTTTCTGTAAAAACTTAATAATAATGTAAATTATACGTTGAAATTCTCTTTATTATTATTAACCAACTGTATAATATATATTTTACGACAATTTACACAAAGTTGTATTGTCTTAAATTTTCATTCATCAATTTTATTTAATTTTGATATTTGTTTAATTAAACTTGCTTCTTATCTTGTTTCTTTCCAAAATTGATCTTAAAAAAAATTGAGTACAGAGGTAGAGAGGTTTTTAGTACAATGGTCAGAGAACTATTCTAATTAATTTTAGTCAAAATCCTATTGTTATAAGAGAAATTTTTAATTTCGTTTTACGTCTGTTGTGTCTGGACAATATTAGGAATTTGGCCATTCTGATTCAGTACATTAATTAATATTTTACTTACTGCGAAATATATATATATATATAACTATATATATATATATATAACTTTCAATTTATTCCTCTTTCTGAGCTTTCTGAGCGAAAAGTCAAGTACCATTTTGCAAAAATCGCAATAGTTATTAAGTTATTAATGATTGAAAATGACCGCATTTAGAGATTCTTTTAATTGATAACTTGAAAATTTGCGATTATTTGCAAAATGGTAAAGGACTTTCTTATTTAGAATGACCTAATCTACAATCATATGACGGCTATTGTGTCTAGCAATAGATGTGAATATTGAACTTTGAACCCTGAATCTTGAATCTGTCGCTAGGTATAGTATATATATAACTTGATCATGAATATGGACTATAGTCTTTCTTTGAGCGTTCCAAAGCAAAACTTCAAATAGATCTTACTCCATGTTAAATATGCTTTCAGCATTAACAGCGAATATTGAAATGTACTCCTATGATATAGCTCGCCTCAAATTGGCTACTTCACATATTACTACAGTCGTACTGTTACTATTAACTGGTATTATCCAAGCATTAACTGTATAGAATGGGTCAAATAAAGTGTTACAACTCAATAACTCTGAAACGGCTGGATGAATTTTAATGTTCTTGGATTCGATTTTCTCGGCTCGCGATATACCCTTTCATGTAGGTTTATTTTTATTTTCCGCAATCGTCCCTTGGTTATCCGTGGGATAAAGACACCAAGCTTCGTTTCCTTAAATGGCATCCCCAAAATATTTTAACATTAGTGGATTTTAGATTGAAAAAAAAGTTTTTATTCGAAATTTTTATATAAAAAATTGTTTTCTCAAATTATTACTTTCCATTTAGAATTTCCATTAGAATCATTTAAAATTATTCGAGGCGTGAAATTCCAAGCATTCATATTTAACGGACTCCGATTTACCGATTTTTAATAACAATAACGATTTTGCCGACTCGATCGTGTACATGATGCATATAATTACACAGTAAGAATAGATTTACATGTAGCACCCAGAAGGATGCTTCCTCATGTAATGACATAGATTCAATCAACTGGAGAAATACGAAAAGCAATATTCATAATACCGACCGATATATCATTTTTTATATTATTATTATTATTATTGCTTCACGAACTTCGGGACTTGGTTAGGTGGCGTGAGTGCGAATACATGCATGAATGTGAGATGTGGTATTTTAATCTGGCATTATAAAATTTAAATATAAACAAGAGATAGGAAGGCAAATAAATTGAGTAGAATAGAAATAGATTGGGTGTGATCAAAGAGAAGAATCAGCGTGAAATAGGAGAGCAGGATTGCTGCTAAAGAAAATTCATGAGTCAGATAGAGGTTATGATATCGAAAAAGACAAAAGGTATGGGATACGTAGGTAAGGTAGAAAAACAGAGGGTAATCAAAAATAAATAATGATGGAAATAGATTAATAAAATAGTTACAAGATAAAGATTAGTATAAGTTAGTATATGCTTAATGGTACAGTCAAAAGTGATTGGAGAATAGACATACGTAAAGGAAATTTGGTAACTGATTATGTATTTGTAAATGAAAATGTAAGTGAGAATTTAGTAGAAGTTAATGGAATTTAGAATAAGTGATATAGTAGACTCAGACTACTTGCTGCTAATAATGGAATTGGAAAAGAAAAAAGATATGATACAAGAAGAAAAGCCAGAAGAATGTGGAAGAAAAGAAGAGGAAAAGATTATAATATGCTGGGATATATGGGAAGGACTGTTATCGTTACTGTTACTATATATGTAATAAAATATGGGGTCGTTGTTATAAGTGAAAACAATTTATTAATTATGTAATATAATAGGGATTGTAACATATTAAGTTAAGTATATGAGCGTATAAGAAGCGTATAAGAGCATATAAGAAGCTAGAAAATAGGCAAGCAGAGAGAGGTATAAGTAAAAGTTAAATAGTTGGGATATGATAGAATGTTAATATTAAAATAGTTGTAAGAAATGTATAGTATATGATAAAGGCCATGATGATAAATAATATGTGATATTGCTGATGGCTAATATAAACCAAATCCTCTTGACTGTTGTAAGGCTAAAGTGAAATAAAATATTATATTATGCTGTGTCACAAATTTTGTGAGATACTTTTGCATATCATATTGTCTTATATCTCATTCTATTTGGTTATTTTTTTGTTTATTTTTTATCTGATTACAATATGGAATAATTATTTTACTATCTTTTAATTCATTGATTCAATATACATGTATCAAATGCGATGTTATGTGTAGGATTTTACACATATGATATTTACTTTCAAATTATATAGAATTCTGTACAATATTCTACAATTTACAATAATAATATAAAATTATATGATTAAAATAATTATATGTTTCTACATGAAAACTACTCGATTTGACTTTTATTAAAAAATAATTACTAAGCACATGTATAATATACAAATTAGATAACTTGTAAGTAAATATTGCATACTTTTATGTTCCGCGACGTTCCTTGACATTCTTTTCTTCTGTGTTCTTTTCTCGATTGTCGAATCCATATCTTGTTACTTTATAAATATATATACACTTTGAGCTTTATTTCAAACACCTTAACCCATAAAATCATAAAACTTAAACATTTCTATTACGTTGTTCTTCAAATAGACATAACGCCTACAGCTCAAGCCCGCTCAAGGTAACTTTCCGTTGTCACTCGTCAAAGCAATCTCTGGCTGGCTGCGTTTCGATATTTATTGCCAGCACTGAAAATCTATAGTATTCGTGACACAAACTATGTATTTTCAGTACTGACAGTGAATATCGGAACGCAGCCTCTGTAGCGATCCTCTAATAAAATTCTTCAGTTGCAATAAGAGTCTAGTCCAGTTTCGATCCTCTATTATATTATGATCCCTTATTTTCAATATCGGCCGGACGCAGGTCGTAATAGTGCACATAAATTCCCTAAAGCCCATTTATTCTTATATCTAATTATATTTAAGCATATACCTAGGCAAAACAGAAAATCATAACGTCAAGATAATGAGAAAAACTCCTTTTTTTCATCATGATTCAGTCATTTTCTCGTCATTTTGATATCATCATAATTTTATGTTCTACTGGGATATGACAAGCTTTTTACAATAAACTGTTAGTAACATAAGCTGCAAGCAAATTGACTAACCACTGTAAATTGTTTTTTGGAATAATTGACTGTAGTTGATCAATTTGCTTGCGACTTATGATTAATGGTTTAAAAACCTGTTACAGGTTTTAATTTTACATCTGTGCTACCTAGATATTTCCTAGAGCACATAAATATAAGGTCTGTTTTTTATCGCTGAACTAGTGTACATTCAGGGAATATAAAAAGAAATAGATATACATCTAGGAATTAGTGAAAGGGAGAGAAGAAGAGAATAAGTGCAAGTTAGTGCAGCCAGTTCAGCAATAGAAAACAAACCTCATAAGTAATATTCTCGTTAGTTGATACATTTCTAGTATGTCATTGGATTTGATTAGATCCAGTATGAAATAAGTATCAATCGTTGGTTTTATAAAATAAGAGAAAAAGTTCATTCAGTATTCATCTTCTTATTATTATTTGTGACAAGGAGAAAATATATTTCAGTATGCTCACTTCGTACGATATTTTTATACTAATTTTTAGGAAATCGATTCTTCTAGGCCGGCTTTTTTAGAAAGTTATTTCTACTTATTTCGATTCCAGATCGATATAAAAATTGCTTTTTGTAAAAGAAATTGCCCATCATTATAATAACAATACATTATTGTGTGTTCAATGTGATGATGCAATCGTTCCCGAGACGCGAGACGACAGTATCGACGGAGAAAACTGATGGGAGCAAGCATCTTTTTCTCACAAAGGCCGCCAGGTGGCTTTCGTGGCATCATTTTCTCGCGAGTAAAATTCTACTAGATAGTATATAAAACAACCGGTCCGAGTATGAACTGGTACTCTGGTTTCCCTTCAAATCACGCATAAATCTTTCGCCTTTTACTAAAGATTTCCGTGGAGGGGAACAATTGATGAGTCTAAGATCTCAATTTTTGGTAGTACCTGACGAAAGTCAGGTCATATAATAATACAAATAGAAAAATTCCCTTTGGTTCGTCAAATAAAAAATAGTATATTCATTACATCGATGAAATACGACGGAGAGTGTAAGAATATATTATTATATATGAGGGGAGAGAGGACATACTTTCCTCTCGACTCTTAAGATGGTTAAAAAAGGAGGAAAGTATCCAGTACACAAGATTTATATGTTTATATTTCAAAAGGGCTTATTGAAGGCTTTATAAAGATGTTATAATATAGTTTTTTTTAACTTGTTTAACTGTTTGACTGCTAAGCAATTCTTGCAAGAACGCATGAAAACTGCGGGACATATTTTGACTTGATGTTGTCAAATAAAAAACACTCTCATTTAGACAAATATCAATCAATTTTAATAATTCTTTTCGTATTATAAAGAAACAATATTAATTGTGATTGTGAATAAGAAAAAATAAACATTAAATTGTTTTTTTCTTTGAAAATTAAAATTTATAAAAAGATAACTTAAAGTTTATTGATCTTCTCTTATGATCAGCACGTAAAGGATCATTTTGATTAGGGGAAGATCACTGACTCTTACATGAAAAATTTATGTATAACAACTATGTTTTGCCGCACAAATAGCGTGAAGGCCTTTTTTACAACAAGCGCAAATAAGGCGGGATCGTTTGATCCCGCTCCTTCTGTTGCTACACACCGCACATTGTCGTAAGTTACGTCCCGGTAATTTTTCAAGCGCAAATTTTTTGGTTGATGAAGATGGTTGTGTTGACACGCTATTTTTATGATTCATCCACTCCTTTTCGATATCGTCAATAATTTTTGATGTGGTCCAGGAGTCTCGAAAAAATTATTTGTTGCTTTGGAAAACACATTTGTCGGAGGAATATTCGTAGAAGTTGGTGTTTCTTCTGTTTCTGAAGATGAAGATGAGATAGAAGACTCACTTTCAATCCTCAGTCTTTTTCTTTGATGAGTTATAATAATGCTATCATCACTACTTGTGTCTGTTCTTTCACCATCCTCAGAATCACTAGCAATCGAATCAACGTCCGAAATAATAGCCTATGACATGGTTATTTTTAAAAAATAATATATAAAAACGGTAAAAAGTTATTTTAGAATGCACTCGTGTTACAAAGTACGCGTGAGGTCAGACTACGTTCACTTCCACGGAGCAACAAAGACACATTGAAACTCGCAGCGCAAAAGCGCTGCGTCGCGGTTTTCGAGACAAATGAACGCAGCGCTTTTGCGCCGCGTAGCAGTGAAACGGTTAATTATAAAAACTAAAAATACTGTTTTACTAGTCGGGTTTTACTTCATTCTGTTTTATTGAATAATATATATCTTTATGTTCTTTCAATACAAGATACAGCCTTGTACTTTACGATATAATAGAAATATGTGGATAGAATAAAGTAAAAATTCCTACAATTTTATTTTCTCGGCATCATGCGAGCAAATACGTTGAACTTTGATCATGTAATTTTTCAGTTATATTATTTCAAGGAACAAAGGCAAATATCAAAGCAAAATGTTAAAATTGATCATGAAATAATTTCTTGTTTGTAAAAAAACAATTTATTTCACAGTGGATATATGATTCTCAAACGAAAAAGTTTAATGGGTATAAAATTTATAAATTGCTTATTTTACACTTTTGAACTTGTTTGTTTCTTTTTCGCTTCTTCTTCTTGGCTACCAAAAATAAAAATTTATTTTTTCTCGTGGTCAACAGTCAGTGAATGAATGACCAGATTTCCGTCAGGTACTACCAAAAATTGAGATCTTAGACTCATCATCATCAATTGTTCCCTTCCATGGAGATAGTGCACACCAATTTTTTATGAAATATTTTGGAATGAAAGAAATAACACAATACATCTCGACTACCTTTACAGAAGAACAAGTCTTGTCTTTATGTGTACAAGAGAGGATAGAAAAGGTAATATTTTTGTTTATATTCTCACTTGATACCCAACTTAAGTTGGGTATAACAAAAAAATTCACAGACTCATAGTTGTTCCCCTCCACGGAAATCTTTAGTAAAAGGCGAAAGATTTATGCGTATCTGAAGGGAAACTAGAGTAGTAACGATCGTTCTTCAAGTCATCTTAATATAACTGAAGAAATCGATTTTTGAAAGCGAGAAATGTAGCCACCTAGTAAGTATAAGGCAAATTATTGATCCTTAGAGATAATATAAGATAGATTAAAAATCAAATTGATCGTTACCTCTATTTGAATTTAAATAAAACATAATGTAAAATAGAGGATCACGTGTGTACGAACAATAAATGTTTATAGTTGTGCAAAAGCAAATTCATTATCGATTTTACAGAATCTACACACCTTCTATAACGTAGTTAAGCTACACATCGCTAGATGTCAGCAGTATTTCTGTTCTTTACGTGACTATAAATCTAGGTAGAATTGACTCAACATGATACTAATTTTATAACAAATGTAAATAAATCTGATAAATTGTTGCAACTCTAGTATCATATAATTTTATGTCAAGTTAACGACTATAATATAATTAATTATTTGGAAGTACGTAATAAAAACTGCGAAATTTATTTTATCAAATATTATGAAAAAATATATATATATAAAAAAATGTATATATATATATATTCCAGGTTACATCAAAGTACTTACATTAAACATCCTCATAATAATTCAACAAGTTTCTATAAACGAATTATAAAAGTGATGAAATCTGGGAGATATAAAACTTGACAAAGAATTCTAACAGAACTCATTGCATCACAATCACGTCAATTAATTACTTCAAGGTTCCTTCCATAATTCTGCGTTTATTAAATATTTATTCATATTGCAATGTTTTCTTTTCCTAAAACACGGATAGAATTTTCCTTAGGGATAACGATGTAATAAAAGGAATATTAATTAATAGCTTACAACCGAGTAAGAAAATCTGTTTTCTCGAAGAGTCAACTCTACTATGATGCACCAGGTATCCCCTATTTCTGCTATCGACGACAACATAAGCACAATAGCCGAACGATGACTAGCACCGCGCATGTTTCGGCTGGCAAGATGCGCGCGAAGATGAAGAAGCTTCGCGCGGGCACCGCGGTGTCCCCAGCAGCGGGGAGGCTCCCTCGATTGAAAAAGGGACAGCCGATAACAGTGCGAAGGGTAGATGAAATGGAGGTTCGTTTACCCCTGGCATGGAAGAGTCACCCTGTCCTCATCGATCCTCATCCTCCGCCTTCTCTCTACAAGCGCGTCTCCGCGCGCTTCTCCCCTCTTTCTCTCCAGCGTTCCCTCATGCTTTCCCTCAACCACCGTCACTGCTTCATCCCTCCAGCCACCCCCTTCTCAACTATCCCCCGCGTTCTCGCCCACCGCTCCTCATCGCACCCTCTCTCTTCGCCAGTGTTCGCCCTTTAAGCCATCGCCTCCGCTTTCCCCTATCCCTCTTCCCTTCTCCTCCCTCCTCTCCCGCCTCCGCCGCCTTGTCAGCCTCCCGAAGAAATTCACTTTCGCGAAAAAAAAGGGAAAAAGGCGCGAAAAATCGATCCGTGGCGCCGATTGGTCGCGTTCGGCCGGGCCCGCGCCGGCATTGGTCCGCGGCGCATTCTTGGGCGTGGCTTAAAGATGAGCTCTCGCTGTGTCATCGCTTATATTGATCCTACACAATTCGGTGTGTACGCAGCGCCCACCGACGTTGCACTCACACCGAGCGACACACGGCCGCGAGAGCCGCCGGCTCTCTCTCTCTCTCTCTCTCTCTCTCTCTCTCTCTCTCTCTCTCTCTCTCTCTCTCTCTCTCTCTCTCTCTCTCTCGCGATGCATCTCCCCTCGCAGGCGCGAATGCACACGTATGTGTATGCGGCGCATCGCACGTACGTCGCGGCACCTGCATCACATGCATTATGCGCGGGGAACGTGGCTATGGAGTGGCTCGCGAGAAAGGGGGCGAGTGGTTATCGATATCGGCCAGGAAGCGACATCGATCGATTCCGCTGCGTCGATATAACAATTCCGGTGACTCTTCTTCGCGTCGCGCGGCAATGCTGTCTCAGATTTCTGTTCGCGCAGCTTCGAATATCTCGATGCTATTTATTAAGACGCCCCATCTGTTTGTCCGCACGATGGAGGAAGTGCGGTTACGTTCATGCGCCCGCACACGTTTGGTCGCGTTTGCAACGGGAAACATTAAAATCGCCGAAAGTTCATCGATACCCCCGGACGATATGGAATGATTCGTCAAGCTTATTTTGCTTCAAACGAAGCAAAGAAGTGACGATAAAGAAGTGTCCAATGCGAATTCTATTAAATTATGTTATAACTTTCTTTTCTTCTTGTTCTTTTTCGTTAAAAAGAATTTACTTCCAGTTTTATATACTGAAACGCGCCCAACGTTGTTATTAATTTTTTACGAAGCACACTGTACGTGTGTATCATGATTGCGTGTAAAGGAATTACGGATACTAAGCGACGTTCGCGTGTTTGCATAATGAACACGCGAGCTTGTGTCGCGCGTTAAAATTCCTGGCAGGGGTTCCCCGCGAGTCGGAAGAAATCGCGTTAATTTAATTCGTTCCCAGGAAGAAGATTCTTGCGCGCGGACTCTATGCACGCGCGTGTGTGTGTGTGTGTGTGTGTGCTTCGTAATTTGGACTCGTTTTCAAGCAATTGTCGAGGATAACCGGCGACATCTGCGTTCGCTACCTTCTCGATGTCATAAGACCATTGTATCATTATTGCGATAAAACGGCTTAAAACGTGCTTAAAAAATTAAACGGCTATAAATCGAGATTGAAAGCGAGATATCTCCGAACGACAGGAACGTAGGAATTTGCACGGAAGGATAGTATCTGCGTCGGGTGAATGAATCTTTGATCGAATCTTGAGTTATCGAATTACGGAATTTCGAGGTCGATAGAATCGTACGGGGAGCGCGAGAGAGGTCCGTGATCAATTTATCTGCTAGATACCCGCTTCATAATGGACGGCACATATATTTGGGTTAATGGTGCCAGCTGGTTTGATGCCAGAATACCTACCCGGAGAGATATATCGCAAGAATTATGCGAGGGTAAGAGTTCCGGAATATTTTTCCAAGTTTCGCACGAGCGCGGTTATGACGGACACACACATGTGACTTGCTCTTCGTGAAGTACTGTACACCGTTGGCGATTGCCATCGTTGATGCTTGCCCGTCAATGCTTCCAGGGACAATTCACTTAAATTGCAAACTGAGATGCGAAGTAATCCCTGTTTGTTCGTCCCGTATTTACAATCGACGTAAGCAATTTATAACATTTTCAATAATTGGCACGATGTCGTAAGTATTGTTGATTTTCATGTTGCGGTTTTTCGTCGATTGATACTTCGTGTTGTAATAACAGCTGTCGCACACGAGTACACATATGTAAAATTAAATATCTATATTACTTATAAAAAATGCTTATAAAAATATATTACTTATATAAACTGCTGTGTACACTGTGTGCTGCGACGTACCGACTTACTTTTTTTAGGGGCGTCTATCAATTCATGGAAAGTGGACGTAATGCTGCGTGTCACAGAAGTTATATATAACTTATCTAGTATAGATGTGTATATAAATAGACGGAAAAGTGATTATCGAACCCACTCTTCGACGGATCGCAGCTGATGCCGAGGTGAGATCAAATACGTATATTACTCGATAGGTCTTCCCAAAATTAAGTATCGTCTCGCTAAACATAAGTAAATTACACGCACGTGTCTGCATTGTGAACTGCGCGCTTACTTTCTGTAAATTGATTAAAATTAATTTTTTTTCCTATCAATGGAAAAATAATAGGTTATTTGAAGATCATTTTGCACAAAATTCAATTCCACGTGACTTCAACGGGGCTTTTTCAATCATTAACTGTAAGAACAATCGGATCACTTATCGACAAAGTGGCAAACTCGCCGGCCGCGAAGCACACCCTGTATAAAACGTAATCTCTCGTTTGCCTGTACGGGCGCGTAGGAGCGAATCAAATTTTCGTGCCGCCTGTCGTTGTAGGCGCATCTAAACGCAGCATGCAATCGACTCTCGGACTTTAGGAGGCGCGCACAGACGCGCAGAGACGGACGGGCGCGGAACAAAACAAGAAGGGTGCGAGTTATACCATGACCGTTTTGATGGATTAATTCACGAACCGAACGGAAGGTTGCAAAGACCGACTTCGATGTTACCTGTTTTGTTGTTCTCGTTAAGCCGGCTGACATTGAGAAACGGCTAAACGAGCGCGCGTTTTCTTGATTCTACTTGTGCTACTTGCAGAATAGTGCTCGTTAGCCTCCGTTTGTTTGTAGTCTAGCGTTTATGAATATTCGTAAAGTTCATCATGCAGTTGCGCGGTAGCGCATTCGCGACCGATTATCGACGACGGTAGCTGCAATAACGATGATAGTATGCTCGACATTAGTCGACAGGAATTATCTGGATTAGTTGATAAGATTGTAAAATATGAATCTCCACGTGAATATCGCACGTAATGGAGAACTTTCCGGATTGGAGGCCTGTGGCCGTCGTGTAGAAGATTCCGCGACCGCGGTATGTCTGGATTATGCAGGCAAATTAACGAAATTCGCCGGTGATAATTTACTCCCATTAATAATTACTCGGGAAATCTATTATTCGCAGATAATGCAATCTCTGACGGGGGAACATTCGTTATTCATAATGCGGCTTTTCGCCGCGGCATCTACAACGACACGCAAATAATGGGTACGGCAGTCGGCCGGATCTCCGAGCGAGAAAGAATCGAACTCAGGCGCGACTCGACAGTGAGCATGCGTCACTTTTGAAGATTCACCTTTCGGTGTTGTTAAGTGAAGGGAAACGAATGTGTTTATTTTTGTTGTCGTTGTTGAGATTCTTCGATGTGAAATTCCCCTCGTGGATAGGCCTGAGAGAATACGCATCTCAAGATATCGTACTTTCTCTTTTGTTTTTCCCCTTTTGTATTTCTCTGAATGAGAATGGAACATCTTACTAAACGCGACCGGCAAACCCGGCGGCACAATGATCTCGACCATGTGTGCCTTAGTCACGCTGACATATGGCAAAGTCATGA